CTCTCTTCTAACTTCACCAGTTGTCTGCCTGTTATGCTGCCATGCATGCACGGCATCCTCTCCATAACCGAAAATACATCATCGTACCCTTCAACCCGTTGCCAAAGGAGAAGGCAGGCTTCGATTGTTTGTCTGGCGAGGTTGACCTCGAACGCAAGAAGGTCCTCGGTTGTATCATCAACAAAACTGAGACCGACATTATGGAGAGGGGCTGGCATGCTGATTTGCCTTGGCTGCGACAGATCGGATCAGACCTCAACATCAATGCTTTCGCAATTAACTGGTATCGGAGTGACGGCACACTGAATAATGACTTGGAAGAAGCCAACTATCTGATGAGGCGGGTGGCGAATGGACTTTCCATCACCTCTACGAGAGGAGATCCTCAGAGAGTACCGCTGTTCCTAACTTCAACGCAGTTTGAACCAGCTATGTATGGCCAATGCGCCCAAAATTTCATGCGGCGTCTCGGATTGGATGCCTGTGCTCAGGACCTCTGGGTCATGCGAAACGTTGTGATGAGCCCCTTCCCAACCAGTCAAAGGTTTATCCAGTTTTTTATGGATACACTCGAAAGGGAGATTGTCAAGGGAGTGGACTGGTGTCGCACGCGAAACAGTCTCGAAGACAAGAATATAACGTTCCTTCTCCGGGGAACTGACAAAATCTTCCTTGATTTCCAGACGAGCTTCCACGCAGCAACCCAACGCCAGCAAATCATCTTGGAAGCCACGCTGATGCCAAAGAACCCTGATTTGGCGTCCAACGATATTGCAAAGATGAAAGTAAAGAACGATTTCATTGATCTGAAGAGGGAAAACCCAAAGAAGGTCTTTGCATTTGAATCTAGCAGCGCCGTGAATCTAGAAGCGCTGATCAAAGGCATTGAGGAAGGACCGCAAATTATTGGAGGTTCGATTAGTGCCCCTGGTCTTGATCCAAAATCGACTATTGAATGCCGCATGGAGATGAAGCGGGTTGTCATAAGCCGTCCTTTGAATTCGGCCAATCGCGACGACCATTACCCACGACACTTTATGCCATTTTATCTATATGGCTCTCAAAATGAATTTCATATCTCACATATGCTGCTCCAAGCACCAAATGTGGGTTTGTCTGCCTGCGGCGTTACCTTCACCCGAGCCTTACCCCAAAGAGTGCTCGCTCTCGTGGAACATAGAGCTCTGATTCTCACATTGACCGAGTATCGTGAGGAAACAATGCATCCATTCCCAGAGACGAACCGTGCTATTCTCGGGAACAATGATTTCTTCTTCCGCCCTGGACAAAAGTTTCAGGTCAAGATTTACGAGGACCATCATAAGCCCAATACCAAAGGCCCAGGATTAATCGACAACCTCCGTTTTCCAATTGCACGAGAGGAGATGACGATAAACAGTGATGTTCACGTCGATGTAGAGGCTCTGAACAAGGATCCTCTGGAAGAAGAGCAAGTAGGTACTTCGTGGGAGTCTGAGTTGGACCAAATCAGAGAAGTTTTGAATTATGGACACGTTGTGGCAATGAATGCTGCTAATGCTGCTAATGCTGCTAATGCTGCTAATGCTGCTAATGCTGGAGATGCTGCTAATGCTGGAGATGCTGGAGATGCTGGAGATGCTGGAGATGCTGGAGATGCTGGAGATGCTGGAGATGCTGGAGATGCTGGAGATGCTGGAGATGCTGGAGGTGCTGGAGGTGCTGGACCTGGCGAGGATATTATGGAGGTTGATGCTTGATAGTGATTTCGGGGGTAACAAACCCTGTAATAGGAAAACAGGCCCTCCCTACAACCTACGTTAGAAATACATGAAGTTTGATATTCTCCACTAAGACCACAATATAGCTAGGGACAGCTATCAAAAAAAGGGGGGCGGGATATTAGGAAAAGAAGTCGTACATATATCTCTCGGTCGCCTGGCTGACCAGATGCGACATATCGTTTTGTGTCTAGCAGTTAGTGCTTCGACAGAAGATTTTACCAACAATCTTAGAAAGTACATGAACTTATCCCTGCAGTCTGTGACGAGTGAAACAGCGCAAGAAGACCTATAAGTTAAGTTATTCATGTGTCTTTTATACGGGTGAGAGCATGCTTTTTCTCCGCGGAGAAAAAGCATTGACGTGCTTAGTGATGGATTTCTCTATCCAGTGGCGGAGAAACCGTATAATTGGCGAGGTTTCGTTGAATCCTGATCTCTTCTCCAATTCCTTCGCTCCTCATTGCAGTCCCACTAGCGCTGCCATTCTACCGTTGTACCACTACCCTGAGGAAAATGCACGTAGCTAACGAGTTGAGATCAGAAATCCGTCAGCTAAACTACCCCGGAAGCCTTTCTAGACTAGATTGTTTGAATCTCTCAATGACTGCGCATATAGGTACCAGATTGGTATGGGAGGTGGATATCTTACAGAATTACATCATTGGTCACACTATAAACTACTAAAAAGTCACTCTTCCATTATTATTCAACGGGACGCCCCGGTTTTACTTGTCCTTGTCTCTCGCTCCCTATCTCTTTCTCTTTTCTTTTCTTTTCTTTTCTTTGACCTTCCCCTTTGAAACAAATACATCAGGATGTACCATACATACTAATATTCTTTCATTCATTCTGATCCTACAAGGCTACGCTGAATGCCATCTACTAACTCGTGCATATTCATATGCTTCCTCGGAATAGTACTTCCATTTCTCACCACTTGGACATGGATGATCAGACACCTTCCGTGCAGTGAAAGTTACCCCAGAGCCAATACAGGGAAACACAACCTCTGCAGTGAAGGCTGCGAATTTTTCATCCCTAAACTTGATAGTGCCGTACTTTGGTTTGAAAAAGATCTGACCTTCGCTAGTTTCACGGTATCTGAGCTTTAACCGGTATGTGTAGGATTCGCTCGTCTTCTCTGCTTTCGCTTTCTTCGACGGCCTGCTATGTTTCTGGGCGATTGTCTTTCTCTTAGTTCCTTTTCCAATTTTTTCGTGATCGTCGCAAATCTCCTCTTCGTCGGTCTCAGTCATATGCTCCTCAAATATGATCATAACGCCTATCACTACACCAAAATTGAATGTAGCGTGAAACTTCCCCTTTCGTTGTGTGCTTATAATTTCAAGTACCATGTCCCCCGCTAGACTTGACCATCCATCCTCGATCTCCTGACAGTCAACGATATAACTTCCGACCGGCGATTTATTCCTTGCCGTAGCGCCCTTCCTCCGTCCGAGAGCCGCAAGGTAGTCGGCATGCATTTTCGTGCGTTCGTTTTCTCTCCTCTGTTCCCGAGCCTGAATCTCATTCCTTTCCTTATTCGCATGCTCCTTTGCTGCTTCCCGAACAGCAGACTTATCCCATCCCAAGAATATTGTCTGTGTCTCCGGCCCCACACCAGTATCATGATGCAAGCCCGCCACCTGATCAGCAGCTTCACGCAAGCGCCCTGGACGATACTCGCTATATCGAGGAAAGGAAACCCCGACGACAGTGCTTGTCCTCGTCTGGTATGGATCTGGTTCCCCAGCTCTTATGAAGAACTTCTTTATCACCCACTCGGGGTTGGAAGACAGCACCTCTAGATTACTTGAAGCAATCCATTCCTGATGTAATTGCTCCTCCAGGGCCAGGATGTGTACGGGTACTTTGTCGCACTTTCCTTCTTGGAGGACTTTCTTCATCAGCTGCGTTCCGTTGCCTGATAGTTGGTCTTCCTCGAAAGGCACCCCATGGTGTTGTAGTTGGCTGCGGACAAAATCGGTGCGGTCTCGCAGGATCTTTTGACCTTCGCGGCTGAGCTTGGGTAGAAACATCCTTCGGAGAGAGGAACTATCTACACGTTCATTGCACCCGCGTGTAGTGCGGAACCGGCCGAATGAAGAGGTGAAACCAGCGCGGGTGGCGGCGATTTCATAGGACATGGCGGGCTGTGTGAGCCGATTTGGTGGGTTTTGCGGGTATCTGGAGGTGTTTTCAATGGGTTTATTAGATATAATTAGTTTGAAAGGCGCGAGTTTTTAAAAAGAGAGCGAGAAAGTGGACGGAGGTTGCTTCCGCCACATACAGCGTAGCCCGGAGGGGAGGCGGGGATGATGATGCAGTCTGAAGTAATGCGACCATCAGCTACCATTGATATAGACAGAATCATGTCACGCAATAAATTATCAGCGCATACATCTCTATCCACGAAGGTCTTCAGTCAGGAATCAATGTCTCGACGCAAGTAGCACGTACAGACACCAAGTGCAGATAAGCTGCGCACTCATCATTGCACCCTGGATACTGCCTTAAAAAGGACGAATGACTGGTACAATTATATGACCGTAAGGGTTTATTACGCTAGTATTTAAATATATATATATATATATATATATTCGCTTTGATTGAATCGATATGTCGAGAGGTTGTGTGTGGTCAGATTCTATCAGCTGGTATCGAGTGCGGTCTGGCCCAATTGTGGACGTCGAGGTCATATATTCTCTGGTCGGTAGGTGAAAGTTCGGGCCAGCTGACGAAGTACTCGATGTGATACGTTGTAAGGGTACAATGGCACCGTCAAGCATTCGAAATAGAGCCTGCGCCTTGAGGCCCCCCTCGGCTACACACAAACAGCTTTAGTTCTGTTTGTCTGCCCGACGATCGAAACCCTTCTAGCCCATGCGTTTTAACATTATTCAGTGCAAAGTGTCGCATGACTCAGGATAACTCTGCTTTGTTCATTCTATGACAAGTTTCATTGTCTTTTCAAAGGATTGGAAAAAAGAGACAGAATCATTCCTAGAGGGGTAATTGCTACTTAGCGACTGCTAGCATTCTATTCTAGGTCTCGCGGCTTGCGTGAAATGAACGGGTGCTTAACGCTGAAAACAAACATACCAAATTAATCAAAAAATCGCCAGATATCTGGACTTGCAGCAGGGACCAATCCCAAAGTTCATTGCAATGAAAGTCGCCTCCCGCGACAGAGCAAGGCTATAGGCACTCTATAACGTGTGAAGTGACAGCCAGACCTTACGCAGCCTCGGCAACCGGGGTCCCCATGCGTCCCTCCTCAGCCAGTTTCTCCTTGTTCATGGTGTCGGGGCGGGCATCGTTGGGCTCAGAGGAGCGTTTCTCTACAATGGTGGTCTCGTCCGAATTCCTCGTGCGGGCAGCCTCTTCTAAAAGGTGTCAGCATGTATTCGTCACGAGAATGACACATCACGTTAAAGCGACACGACTTACCGGGTTGAGGCTCCTTGGGCGGGGGGCAGTAAAAGCCGACAGCGAGGCAGATAATCATAAGGAAAATTTCCTCGAGGACGCCCATGCATAGATTGACCGTGGGGTTGGGCTCGAACAGGTTGAACTTCTCGATATTCGTGTAATCACCCAAGCAACCGTAGATGGTGCGCACAATAAGTAGTGGCGCACAGGCGTATACTGAGTACAGGATGATCCTCTCGTTGCGAGGCATCTCGTTGCGGTAGATGGTCAGGTACCCCATAATGGCCAGTAGGAGACCCAAGCATCCGACGAACATGCCCAGTGCGGCTTGGAGCATGGCGGGGATGGTGTAGGTGTCGAGGGCCTTGATAGCGCCGGCAATACCAAGGGCCAGTCCGACCAAGCTGACGATGCTGACAAATATGAAGATCCATTTGGAGAGCTTGTTGATCGAGGCATTTCTGAACAAGACATGCCAACGTCAGTCTCAAGTCACGCATTGGTGGATATCAGGTTGTGACTTACACTCTTTGCAGCAAACCCACGGCAGCCAGGGTTAGCGGCGCGATGCCCAACAAGTCGCATGTGATTTTTGTGGTGATCACATCGATCGAGTCGTCAGTGATGCTGATGAGCTGACATACAGCGCCGGCAATTCGGAGACAGGCGAGGATAATGAGAAATCTCCAGCATGAGGCTACAGCCTTCATACCTTGCTGATAACACAAAAGAAGGGCGAGGAAGAGGCAGGGCACGAAGGCGATGAGCTGCAACACCGCGATACCATCTTCATAGCGAAACGTCATCTTGAATTGAGGTGGGCCGGAGCGGCGAATACGGCGGGCAGATGGCTATTTTGCGGGGCGATTGTAATCTAGATTGTGAGGTTTAGGGCAGGTATTGAAGGCCCGGGAAAACTGGTATGATCTGATGAAATGTATTGGAAGGATAGGATATAACGATGCGAAGATAATAAATAACTGAAGCCAACGTCCCGGGGTAAAATAAGAGAGCGGTCTCCCGTGGTGGCGCAGGTATATGATGAAAAGATTGCAATGTGTTCGGGCTGTGCACTCGAATATAGACGATGGGTGAGGCATTCTATGACAATTTGAGGGTTTCGGGCATCTCCATGTGGAACAACTTAACATCGAGCATACCGTATTAGGAATAGGTTCAAGATGTGGCGGCCGTGGATAGCTGCCGGCTAGTCTATTTCCTATTGGGTTTAGTCCCATGAGATCTCCTTTGGTGGGTCATCTTGTGCCGCTAACCCTGTTCCGTCACTCTTTCCTTCCTTTTACCGGAACTTCGAGCTGTCCATTTTGGGTAACATTTCCCCATCCCCCATAACTCTTGTCCGGTAATCCTCCACTTTCATACGTCCAAAGCACTCTCTTACCTCGCACTCGATGCTAATTTGAGTATACTGACTACGTCGTTTGCAGAGCCACACGATCTACGTAGCTAGCCCACCCTTAAGGCTTGTTCGTCATGGCTGAAGCATTGCCCCTAAAGGTTGCGGTCACCTGATCTCACGAGCTGCCCACTAGCCCTCATTAGTGAGATTAAGCCTACTAGAAACACGTGCAATTACCGTCTCCTTCCTTTGAACAAACAAGCCTAATATCTTACTGGGGGCCACTTCTAGAAACCTGCGTTATCCACCCTACTTTGTCGTTTTCCAGCGGGACTAGCACTCTTCATGATCGTTACTACATCCAGACAATGTCAGTCCGGAGGATCATGAACTAGAATTGGGTATCTTCGTGTAGCGATCCTCCAGGAACACTGCTGACACCATGATTGCATTTCCTCTATATATAAAGGACAACAAGGCAGGATGGCTGCTTTGTGGGGATGAACATGTTTTGAATACCCATTATCTCGGCGTTTCCTCACTTTGACCTTCTCATTCTTTACACGTCTAGCCGGCTTTTGTCTTATTTCACTCCTTTCACCACCCCAACAACATAAGAGATCAGTTTATCACAATGACCGAGACAGAGCAACGTCAGCTCGCATATTGGAAGGAGCAGCTTGAGGGAAGCCAGCCCGCGGAGCTCCTCTGCGACAAGCCCCGGTCGGCCATCTCCTCTGGCAAGGCGCAGGTCCACCACTTCACCCTCAATGACCAGCTTTACCGGGAGCTCCAGACCTTTTGCCAGACACACCAGTTCACCCCCTTTGTGGTGCTCCTCGCCGCTTTCAGGGCGACACACTACCGCCTCACCGGAGTCGACGATGCCACCGTTGGCACCCCCATCCTCAGCAACACTAACATCCTATGCATTCGCACCACCGTCGAGCCAGAGGACTCCTTTTATGCGCTCGTTCAACAGGTCCAGCAGACCACCAGCACGGCATCTAGCCACCAGGATGTTGCCTTCCAGAAGATCGTCTCGGAGCTGCGTCCTGGTGCCGCCGACCGGTCTCGTAACCCGCTTGTTCAGACGATATTTGCAGTTCACTTGTCAGAAGATGCCAACAGCCTACAGCTCGACAGTATGAAGGCTGCCACGTCCAAGTATGACATTGAACTCCATCTCGTCCAAAAGGCTCAGCGTTTGAGCGGTCACATCATCTTCTCGGATGATCTGTTTGAAGCTTCGTCCATCCGCCTCGTCGAGTCTGTCTTCACTGAGGTCCTCGGCCGTGGCGTCAAGACACCCGAGGCCCTCGTCTCAACAATGCCTCTTACCCAGGGCCTCTCCGCACTAGCCGATATGGGCCTCACAGATGTTGCGCGCACCGATTACCCGCGCGAGTCCAGCGTCGTCGAACTTTTCCGGAGACAGGTCTCTCTCAGCCCTAACGCCGTTGCCGTCAAGAATGCATACTCGTCTTCTCAACTCACGTACGCGGAACTGGACCGGCAATCGGACCGGCTCGCCCACTGGCTGGTCCAGCGTGGGCTCGCCCCAGAGACTATGGTCGCAGTGCTGGCACCGCGGTCGTGCGAGACAATTATGGCTTTGTTGGCCATTCTCAAGGCTAATCTGGCCTATTTACCTCTCGACGTCAACGTTCCCGTTGGCCGCCTCGAGAGCATCCTCTCTGCGGTCGATGGAGACAAGCTCGTCCTTCTCGGTGCCGGCGTCGCGCCTCCCGCTCTGCAGCTCAAGGACGTGAGCTTCTGCCACATTGCCCAGGCCCTAGACGAGCAAGGCCAGCACTTTTCTGGCGCTCTGCCGACTCCCACGGCTTCTAGCCTCGCATACGTCATGTTCACGTCCGGGTCAACGGGCAAGCCCAAGGGTGTCCAAGTGGAGCACCGCGGCATCGTGCGCCTGGTGCGCGAGACCAATGTGGCCTCCAAGACGCAGTCAAGTGGCAACATTGCGCACGTTGCCAACCTGGCCTTTGACGCCGCGACGTGGGAGATCTACGCCGCGCTGCTCAATGGCGGTACGATCGTCTGCATCGACTACATGACGGTCATCGACCCGGTGACCCTGGGACAGGTGCTGCAGCGGGAGGCCGTGCGGTCCTGCATGCTCACGCCTGCCCTCCTCAAGCAGTGCCTCGCCAATGCCCCATATGCTCTTTCCGGTCTGGAACTACTCTTCGCTGCCGGAGACCGTCTCGATCCTCGCGATGCTGCCCAAGCCAAGAGCATTATCAAGGGTGACCTCGTTAACGCTTACGGTCCCACCGAGAACACCACCTTCAGCACTATCTACAAAGTCCCGGCCAACGAGAAGTGTGTCAATGGCATGCCCATCGGCGTGGCCATCAGCAACTCGGGCGCTTTCATCATGGATCCCGAGCAGCGCCTCGTTCCTCCTGGAGTCATGGGTGAGCTCATCGTCACTGGTGACGGTCTTGCCCGTGGATATACCGATTCGAGGCTCAACAAGAACCGCTTCGTGCAGGTGATTATCAACGGTGAGTCTGTCCGGGCCTACCGCACCGGTGACCGAGTGCGCCACCGTCCTTCGGACGGCATGATCGAATTTTTTGGCCGTATGGACTTCCAGGTCAAGATCCGTGGTCACCGCGTTGAGCTGCCCGAGATCGAGCATGCTCTCCTGCGTAACGAGTCTGTAAGCGATGCTGTGACTCTGGTGCATCAACCCGAGGGCGAGCCGGCGGATCTTATTAGCTTTGTCACTGTCCAAGGTAATATCGCGGATGCCGCCGCTCAGGAGGACTCCCAGAACCAGAAGGACGCCGGCGACAACAGCCGACTTGAGAACCAGGTCGAGACTTGGAAGGATCTCTTCGAGACTGGCACCTATGCGGACATCAACAGAATTGACACCACCAAGGTCGGTAGAGACTTCATGGGTTGGACGTCCATGTACGACGGCAAGCTCATCGACACCGCCGAGATGAACGAGTGGCTGGATGACACCATACACCACATGTACCGTAATGGCGGATACCCACGCAATGTCCTAGAGATCGGAACCGGAACGGGTATGATCTTGTTTAATCTCATCAACAACCTGAACAGCTATGTCGGGCTTGACCCGTCTGCGTCTGCCGCTGCTTTCGTCAACAAGATGGCCCAAGCAAGGCCGTCCCTGGCTGGCAAGGTCGACGTGCGCGTCGGCACAGCCATCGACGTCGACTCCCTGGGCGAGCTTAACCATCCAGACATGGTGGTGATTAACTCGGTGGCCCAGTACTTCCCCACGCAAGAGTACATCTCCTCCGTAGTGGACAAGTTGCTGGCTATTGATGGCGTGGAGCGCATCTACTTTGGCGACATGCGCTCCTGGGCCATCTACCGCGAGTTCTGCACGACTAGGGCTCTGCATCAATTAGGCTCCTCTGCCACCAAGGAAGCAGTGCGACACGAGCTGACGAAGGCGGAGGCAGAGGAGGAAGAGTTGCTCGCCGACCCGGCCTTTTTCACCAACTTAACGAGCCGCCTCCCGGAGATTGTCGAGCACGTCGAGATCCTCCCCAAGCGCATGAAGGCCACCAACGAGCTGAGCTGCTACCGTTTCGCGGCCGTCATCCACAAGCGCCAGGACGGTAAGCCCAAGGCTATTCGGGATATCAGCGAGGGCTCCTGGGTCGATTTCAAGGCCAAGCAGCTGGATCGTGCTGGCTTGTTAGCCCTCCTGCAGGCGTCCTCGACCGCCTCTACGGTTGCCGTGAGCAACGTGCCCTACAGCAAGACCATTCTCGAACGCCACATCGTCGACTCGCTTGATGACAAGACTGAGGGGGGAGCCAACTGGCTCACCTCACAGCGTGAGGCTGCCAACCGTTGTCCAGCCCTGTCAGCTTTAGATCTGGCTGAGCTGGCTGAACAGGCTGGCTTCAAAGTCGAGCTGAGCTGGGCGCGCCAGCGTTCCCTTCGCGGCGGTCTTGACGCCGTCTTCCACCGCGTCGAGGGTCTGCGCCCCTTGTTCCGCTTCCCAACTGAGCACGAGGGCCGGTCCAAAGATTCTCTGACCAACAGCCCCCTGCGCCGTCAGGAGGCTGATGTGGTTGAGACTCTGCTCAAGAAGGCGCTACAGGCCTCACTGCCCAAGTACATGATCCCTGCACGTATCGCCGTGCTGGATAAGATGCCCATCAACGCCAACGGCAAGGTGGACCGTAAGGAGCTGGCTAGACTGGCGAGCGTGTTTGGCAAGGCGACCAAGACCTCTCGCCAGATCGTTGAGCCACACACAGATCTGGAGCGTGTCGTGTGCGAAGAGCTTTCCAGTGTGCTGAATGTCGATGCCGTCGGCATTACCGACAACTTCTTCGACCTTGGCGGCCACTCGCTCATGGCCCCGCGTGTTGCCGCACGCATCAATCAACGCCTGAATGTAAATATCCTCTTGCGTGATGTATTCGC